GCCCCAAGATACCACCAAAGAGGAAAAGTCATAAAAGATGAAAAACAAATATTGAGGACGGAAACGAGAAAAGGGAAAAAGGCGGTGAATTTCACCCATATAACATTGTAAATAATCGAATCATATAAGTAGTTACAGAAAGACAAGTTTAAAATAAGGGGGTGAGAGTGAGGTGGATGCTATTACCTTTATGTTTCTAAGAGACTGCACTTCTTAACACCTCCTTATTAGAAATTGCTTGGATTGATTTTTTATGTTTTTGACGAGGCGGGGGGGAGAGGAAATTGGAGGAGCATGTGAGATTGTTAGTTTGCTATGTTGCTTATTTTTTTAGTTTTTGGGTTTGTGGATTTCGTATCATTTTAGGTTGGGAATAGATTGTGATTAAGGAGACATTGCGAAGGGAGAATAGATAGGGAATGAGGCAGGTAGTGTGGACAGAGAGGAAAGAAAGGAAGATGAAAAGAAGAGATCGGTGAAGAGAAAGAGAAAGAGAAGAAGGAGAGGGAGATGAGGAAAAGAGGAGAGAGGAAATACTGTTCTGCACTCAACGCAAGCAACCAGCAGAAAGGTAGAAAATAAAAAAAAATAATAATAAAATAAGAGAAGAAAAAAAGGGAGGGGGAGAGGGTTGAGAGTGCCAGAGTACGATAATTTTACACACTTTGAGGGAAAACGTCTGGTATGAAAAAGAGAGAGAGGGGGGGGGGGGCGGGAGGGACGAAGAAAGGAGAAGATCGGAAGAAGAGAGGGGGGGAAGGAGCAAGAGAAAAGAGAACGGGCAGGGAGAGAGCGAGAGAGAGAGGGAATAAGGAAGAGAAAGAGGAGGAAATGGAGGGGGAATAGAGCAGTATCATGGAGAGGGGAGAGAGGAGGACAAGAAAAAGGGGGAAAAAAGTAGGATAGTATAGAAAAAAAAGGAGCGCAGGAAGAGAAGAAGAAGAGGAGAAGGGGGAGCAGGAAGAAGAAAAGAAGTGGGCGAGAAGAGTGGAGGGGAGGATGAAAAAGAGGAGAAGGGGTCAGAAGAAGAGGAAGGGAGAGGAAGGACGAGGGAGCAGGAAGAAGATGGAGAGAAGGGCTAGAAGAAGAAAAAAAGGAGGAGGAAGAAAGTAAACAGAAAGAGGAGAAGGGGTCAGAAGAAGAGGAAGAGGAAAAAAGTGGGAGCAGGAAGAGGAGGTGGAGAAGGGCGAGAAGAGAAGAGGAGGAGGAGGAAAAGTAAAAGAAGAGGAGGAGAAGGGGGCAGAAGAGAAGAAGAGAAAAGAAGGAGGAGGAGAAGGGGGCAGAAAATAAAAAAGGGAGGAGGAAGAAGGTCGAAGAGAGGAGGAGAAGGGGGTCAGAAGAAGAGAAGAGGAGGAGGGGAAGAGGAGAGGGGGCAGAAAAATAAAAAAGGAGGAGGAAGAACTAAAAGAAGAAGAGAAGGTCAGAAGAAGAAGAGGAGGAGGAAGAAGAGGGAGCAGGAAGAGGAGAAGGGGAGCAGAAAAAGAAAAAAGGAGAAACTAAAAGAAGAAGAAGAGAAGGGGTCAGAAGAAGAAGAGGAAGAGGAGAGGGAGGAGGAAGAGGAGGAGGCTGCCTTGGGCTCTGCGTCAGGAGCCAGAAATACCCAGCCTGGTCTATGCACTCGTTGGGGGGGTAGGGGTGTGGGTAGGGGTGGGGTGGGGGGTGCCCAGTCGTGGCATGAGTATTGTGCTTTGGCCGAGAGGTGGCGGTGGGGAAGGTGCCGCTGTTCTGTCATGTTGTTTTTGTTCATGTTTTTGGTTTTGTTTTTGTTTATGTTTTTGTTGTTCATGTGCATGTTTTTGTCTTTGTTCGTGTTTTGTTTTTGTTTATGTTCATGTTTTTGTCTTTGTTTTTGTTTATGTTCATGTTTTTGTCTTTGTTTTTGTTTTTTCATGTTTTTGTCTTTATTTTGTTCAAGGTTTGTTTTTGTTGTTTTTGTTCTTCGTTTGCTATTATCCTCTTATTCCTTTTTTCTTATTTATTTTTCGTTTTTCTTTTCTTATTTCTGCATCTCCTTCGTCGTCTTTTCTATTTCTGCTTCTTCTCTATTCCTTTTTCTTCTCTATGTTCGTTGTTCTTGTTTTTCCTTTTTTTCCCTTAGTCTTCTACATCATCTTTTCTTCTTGTTTATTTTTCCTTTTTCTTATTACTATTATTTCTTATTTTCTTCTTCATCGGTTTTCATATTTTCTTTAATATTATTGCTGTTTTTCTTCTTCCTACCTTCCTTCTTGATGTGAAGTTTGGCTAGATGTCTTAATTTTTTATCATTTTTTAAATATTTGCATTTACTTGTTTGGTTAAATACATGCATACTCACCCACACGCACAGACACAAGCTCGCACACCCACACGCACACACACACACACACACACACACACACACACACACACACACACACACACACACACACACACACACACACACACACACACACACACACACACACACACACACACACACACACACACACACACACACACACACACACACACACACACACACACACACACACACACACACACACATTTATTTGTTTTTTTTTTTCAGCCTCTTGATCTCTCCCTTCCCTCGCCTTATTTTTTCTTCTTTTTCTTCTTTCTTATTTTTCTGTAAAATACATACATCTGGCCTGTTCTGTTCCTAATCTGGCGCACATATGTATACACAACTAGCGAAGGGGGAAGAGGGGGGGAGGAGGGAAGCTAGTGATGGTAATACTAGCGGACGGACGTTATAAATAGTAAGGCACTGGCGGTAACAGTACTGGTGTTGTCCGGCTGGGAGACCGAATTAGCCTCCAACCGGACAGGTCCTGTGATGGGGTGGGGTGGGAGGGGGGTCCTGAGAGTCCTGGGGGATAGGGAGTGGTCTTAGGAGGGTTTGGGGGAGTCCTGGGAGGGAGGGGGGAGGGTGCAGGGGAAAGGGGGGGGGGGAGGAGTCGGGAGAGGGGTCCAGGGAAGGGAGGATGGGGCAGGGGGTAAGACAGGTGGGGAGGGTTATGGAGTCGGAGGGAAAATTTCGAATAGCTTTCGGGACATTTCGAACACACACGATAGAGGGAGAAATCAGCTATTGGAAATGATTTATTGATCTTCTTCTTAAATTCGATAATTAAAGGAGTGATTGAATGGTAGCTTCACGATCGTGTACAAAAGAAAGAAGAAGAAGAAAAAAAAAAAAATTTATAACCAACGAAGCCACGGGCGGGATTTTCGTTCCCGCTCAGAGACACTTGGCGAGGCGCGCTGCGTTCCTACACTCATTCTTGTCCCGCTCATTCTAAGAACGTTTGTACACATCCTTGTTTCTCTCGCTTGTAGACTCCGTGTATGTGTGTGTGTATGTATGAGTGCGTGTCGTCGCCTCATAGTGAACGCAGGACCCGACAAATAATACTTAGAGTGCGTGTGTGTTTACGTATGCGCACGATTATTTTTCTCTTCTTTTTTTTTCTACTTTTTTTTTCAAATTGGAATTGTGGGAGCATTTCGTTTCCGCAGGCGGGCTCGTGTCAGTGCGCCGTTCTCTTGCTCAGTGTCCACACCCGCGCTCAGGACCCAGCGGCAGGAAGTACAGACGCTTTACCTCGCTCTTTTTTTTCCGGCAATGGGCGTGTGCTAGAACTCTCCTCCACGTGATGGGCGTGTGCTAGTTCTCTTCTCCCGGGGATGGGCGTGTGCTAGAACTCTCCTCCCGGGGATGGGCGTGTGCTAGAACTCTCCTCTCGGGGATGGGCGTGTGCTAGTTCTCTTCTCCCCGCGATGGGCGTGTGCTAGTGCCCTTCTCCCCGAAATGGGCGTGTACTCGGATTTCCATCGACCTCCCTCGTTGTAGATACCCAAGTGACTTTCGAGTGAAGGTCTCGTACCGTCCCTTGATATGTACAGTCCATCTTGAGGAGTTATTCGGTCTCAATCAAGCCTTTTACGTGTCACCATCAGTGCCTTTGAGGAGATTCTGCCAAGCTCTTGTCTATGGGTATTGTCGTGTTTTGTAGGGAGCAGTGTCGTTGGCCTCTTAACTGTGTGTTGTGTGCTTATGGGAAGGAAAATATTTTGTTTTGGAATGTTCGGAGAAAAAATATCGCGCGTGGAGGGTGTGACAGGGATAAAAGATTGTGAAAATGAAGTAAATAAATATATATGAAAGATAGTAGTGAGGGCAAGCGCTTGGCAGTTCTGTTTTATTGTGTCCAATGGGGTGTGCGTGTGTGTTCGAGTGTTAATAAGAACGGTTATTCCTTTACCAGGTTGAAATACACTCGTCGGAAAATGAAGTGTATAACCCAAGGACCAATGAGACAGAGCAAAGTGCAATTAAAGTGCAGATAATCACAACGGGACAGACCCTTGCATCGAGACACAAGCTAAACGCATTCACGCTTCTAGGCCTATCACCAGCTACTGAGTGAGGCCTATCCCTAGCTATTGAATCAGATCACATCCACTGTGCTTGTAGGCCTTTTTAACATCCATCAGACAGCTTATAGCAACTGGACCTCTCACGGGACTGACGCCACCTGTCACAGGTTCATCAGCAGTATAAGCTTGAAGCCAGCAGTATGTTCAGCTTAGGAGCCTCTCCGCATCAGCAGTAATAGTGAGCTTGTAGCAGTAGCAGCAGCAGTAGTCAGCAGTAGCGGCAGTAGTCAGCTTATTGGCTTCAAGCAGTTGACGCATTAGGCCGTCATGGCTACACTGATAGGCATCATTCAGGCAGCCATGATTGTTACGTGTTACTTGACCGTAAGATCCGCTCCTGCCTCTATCTTTATTTGCTATTTGTGTATGTGGTTTGATTTTTCCCTATTGTTGTTAAAGTTATTTTGTTTTATGCATTTATTTATTTATTTTGCTGTTTTTCTTTGGGGGATGTGTTTTATATTTTTTAGTGCCTGTGTGGTATCCTGCTATTTAAAAAGATGCAGGCGATACTTTATTCTTCGATTAGTTTTTAACTTTTATTTTTTTCGCTTGATCCTACTTAAAGTTGGTTCTTCAAAGACGATTTTTTTTGATGCATTTGTATAATTTCTTCCCAATATATTCAACAGCTTAATGAGAAAGGAAATTTTTGTTATAGTAGAAGGGAAGAATTTTTGTTGTTGGTAATTTGGGGAAGGTTTTTTTTGGTTTTACTTTTACTTGTTTTTCCCTATTTTCGAAAATGAAAATAATGGAGAAATTGACTTTTTTTGACCCCCGATGCACCTGATCCAATACAATTTGATTCCTATTGTTTTTTCTAGTCAGTTATACATATAAAAACCTCCACAATCGATGGTGTCTGCCATTTGTCTCAAGCACACTATGTCACAGGAGACCATTCCTGTTTGTGGGCACATGAACAATACTGATTCTAGACGTGTAGTTTTTTCATTGGTATTTTTGTTTATTTTCTTACTGCCTGTCACATGTTTCCAGAAATAAAAAAAAGTGAGGTTTTCAGAGGTAAAATCCATAAACAAGGGATTAAAATTGGCCTTATAACAGTATTAAGTTATTCAAATGATTATGGATCTACCTGTATCCAACATCTCATTACGCATTCCAATTGGCTGAACTTAATGACATCATTTTCTCCAGCTCCTTTTTGACCTGGTCATTCTGGGGGGGATAGTTTGTGGTATTGTTTCATTTCCTTGCAAGTGGTAAAAGAGTAATAAAAGATTAAACCAAAAAATATATGTATATATAGATAGATAGATAGATAGATGTAGATATTTAAAATTTGTAATGAATAGAGGTGAAGAGGTAGGGCTTACCTCGGGTGTTACCAACTAAGATTTTCATCAAAAGAGAGTGGGGCTACCTGTGTTAAATTACTTTGGTTCGTACATTTTGATCGTCTGATTCAGTTCGTAGTTTGCTTGATATTATGTACAATAAATACTTTGTAAGAACATTTACCTATCAGAGTATTGCCAAATGTAAGCTAACGCATTTTTTTTTTTTTTTTTTGTGTGTGTGTGTGTGTGTGTGTGTGTGTGTGTGTGTGTGTGTACGTGTCTGTGTGTGTGTGGAGGATAGGTAGATCCAAGAATGAATCGAATCAGATGATGATGATGTCCGATTCCATCCACAGAAACACAATTCGAAGCCGAGAGTGCACGGAATGAGACGATTCCCCCGTCTCCAAAATCCGTTATGATTCGTTAACGGTCATTTGCGGCCGAAAGTAGCTAACGATAAAAAGGCTTTTGGGAAATCGCTTCATCTTTCGAATGAAGTAGTTTATTTTTACGAATTTTTACACCGGGTCTGAAGTATATAATTGAGGGAGGGAAGTCCTGGTCAGTTTTGTTTAGTTGTTGATTTTATAGCTGTTGTTTTTACATTTTATTTACTTCTCTTGTTTTCTTTTGATTACGTTTTTTAGCTTCATCCAATTTATTTAGTTCAAGGACTAAATTCTCTCTCATTTTCTTTTTCCTCGTGTTTCTTTTAACCAGTTGTTTTGACTATTCTATGGACGCTATTATAAACTCCCTCTCGTCCTCCCATCCCCTCCCTCCTTTTTTCTTCACCTCCATGCTCTTTGTCTTCTGTTCGCTCATCATCGTCTTTTTCTCTTCTTCTCCTTCCTTTCTCCTATCTCCTTCGTTCCCTACCACTCCTCTCTTTTTTTACATTTTTCCCCATCTTTCCCTCTTGGCCTGTCGAGTTTTTTCCTTGTTCCTAACGCAAGACTGTGCTTTCCTGTGCACCAGGCACCTTTAAACACTTGCAGGATTGCGGTTCTCAGGAGATTTGTCCACTTTTATGGGCAGAGGTACTAATTAGCATATGCGACGGAAGCGAGGTCTTCATGATATGTTTCGAATTAAGTCAATCGTTCGGGGAATCAATAATCAGATGTCACGGACATCGAACTTTACCGACGATGTTGCTATCCCTATCTGATTTCCTGCTGGAATCTCATAAAGATATGACTTTGCAATTGTTTGCAGGTGCGGAATCATAGTAGTCCGGCTCTGTGGGGATGCCTGTTCAGTTTTTACATGTAATGAGTCGAGAAGCCCGTAGCGCTTTAGTTGTGGGCTTACAGGACCTTCTCCGTAGTCTTTTAAAAACCAAGAAGCATAACATCAGTGACCTTTTTTGTCGGAGCGCATTATCAGTAGGTGCCTGAGTAGGGAGAACCTGTTCAGTCGAAATGAGAACTAGTGCTGCGGGGTTACGAGACATTAGAAGTCACAGAAGAGCTTACATACCTTCATGAATACGATATCGTGCAGCGTATTGTCAAATGTATCATAAGATAGGACTTTGATCATCTCACTCACTCACTCATTAGACGCTGAAAAAGATCTGATGCATGAAACATGCAGTACATGTGAGCGGGCTCGAATTGGCCTTGATACATCTCTCATGGACGATCACGCAAGAAGGATAGAGATGTGTGAGAGGATGCAATGGAGGAGGAGAAGGAGTACCTATGCAGGACTCAAGTTACGTGTCTATTCGAAGGCCATGATCCTGCCCAGTTTTGCGCGTATTCATGAGTATGGAAATACCGTAGCGAACCGAGGACTAGGTGTAAGTTCAATTTGTCCGAGAGTCGAGAGTGTCTCGATGTTTTTTTTTTTTTTGTATTTTTTTTTTGGATTAAGCAAGGCCACCTTTGCCGGAGAGGAGGCGATACGAGAGTGTGAGAAGTACTGCCATGTGATACCCAATCGACGACTACACCTGATTTGCGGAGACCAGGCAGAGAGAGGACATGTGTTACTTCGCATGGTTACTTATGCCAACTCATGGTTATAATGGACAACTAGCATACGCTTTCCCTTTGTTGATGACCTCTGCCAGATCGAAGTGGTTGTCTGTCTGTGTCGACGCGATTATGTCCGTGGCGCGAGGACAAAGCGACACAGTTTAGAGGCCCACGATAGGGGAGACCTAAGAAGTCGTCGGCAAGTCTTGCGGCCGCAGCCTGTACCAGATATGTGAGACGAGAGAGAGGAGAGACCGTGGAGGAGCTAAGGAGAAGGAAGATGAGGGAGCGTGAGGACCCGAGCCAGGCGACGTCCCCATGAGGAGTTCCACCGGTAGGGTTGAGGGGAATGGCGAAGGGTGAGATGCGGCTATGCGCCCCCGTCGGCGACAGCTGCCTTTGAGGATGATAATTCCCTTCATACGCCATCTCTCTCCTTCATTTTTTCTCTACGTTCTCCATTCTTTCCCTCCCTGTCTCTTTTCTTCCTTCTTCCTTTTCCTCCCAATTCTCCACCCCTCCTGTCTTCTCCGTTATCTTCCTCCATCCTTCCCGCTCTTTCTCTTACTCTATCTCCCTAGCTTTCCTCCCCTCCCTTTCTCCTGCTTTTCTTCCTTCCTTCGATTTTCCCTCAATTTCACTACCTGCAACCCCCCCCCCTGTTCACTCTCCCCCCCAGCTCCAGTAGGCAGAGGACAAAGGGATGAAGATAGTCCTCTCTCAAGGCCCGCTCCGCCAAACGGCGCTGTCCGCTCCTTCTCTCGCTTGGCTGCCCAACTTTTATTTACTTCTTTTTCTCGCCCCCGTTTCCGCCTCAGCTGCCCCCACCCTCCCATACCGAGCGCACCCAGCGCCGCGAGCCCCCCGATCGCGAGCCACAACGAGCAGCCAGGCGACCCCGCCCACACGAAGAAAGCCGACCAAAACGGAGGAAAGACAAGGACGAAACAGCAAAAAATCGACACGTCCCACGAGAGATACCTGACCAAAACCTAAAACCTCATATGCCCCCACAAGAACAACACACTAAAACAAACCACCGACATATAACGATCTCTGACTACACCCACAAACCATGCCAAAAACCATAAACACCAAGAGACCCCCCCAAATCTTTTCGTTTACCATACGTAAACATCCATGAACATAGCTCGCAACTCCAATTATCTGTGTTCTCTGCCGTCTGCGCCCTATCCTGCTGTAAACCTTCTTTTCATCTGTGAGACGAATAACCCCCCATCTCCTCCCGCCATACTTGGATCTACTGCACAGCTCTCACCGATCTCTTTCTCCACCTCCCTCTCCCATTGCCATCCCCATCCCCCCTTCTCCACTCCCTCTCTCATCCCCTCATTTCCCTTCGTCCACTCCCTCGGGTTCTCATCCCCTATCCCCTGCAACTCACTCCCTCCCATCTCCTCCCTACTCCTCATCGCATTTAGCCCCCCTCCCTTCAACTCCGCCTCCGCTCTCCCCCCTAACTCCCCTCCCTCCCCCCTAACCCCCCAAGCATCACCTCCCTCCCCAACACAAGTGTGCTTCTCAGTCCCCCAACGCAGCTGCAGCTCGTA